CGACAGTAGGAATCCCTTCATCAGCAGCCTCTGGCAGTGTCGCCGCGGCTGCTGGTAGGTGTTTTTCATCTAAATAATCCAAGCTGCCGGCAGCAGGATAATAAAAGCGAACATATTCTGCCAGCAAATTTCTGCATTTTTAGTTAATTTAGGCGTCAATAAACTGTTTAAGAGGAGTGATAATAGCGCTCTGATCGTCAGCGCTGTGTCTCTCTCCCTGCCAGCTTCCAGATCAGCTTCTCTGATTGGTTGACGCGGCGCGTCGAGCAGCAAAAATTCAATTTTTCCATCTCGAGCAGCAGCGTGTTTGCGGCGCGTCACGCGCGTCAGTTGCTTAGTCATTCGTTGCGTTCGCCTGTCTGCTAAGCTCAAAACAACCGCGCCTGGCTTGACGGAGAAACCAGGAGAACAGCTGTGCATATTTACGACAGTGCACTTTTACTTTCGCCCTCTGGGGGGAGCCTCGCTGGAAAATCAACACCGGTTGCATAGTGTACCTTTAAGTGAATCCTTCTTTTGTGGGAGGAGAACCCAGTTAAAGTAATCCTGAGGTTATGGAAAAACCACAGTCCCTCCACCTGTACCTTGAAATACATCACTTTGAGCCTTGTTTTAAACAGACTCATACTTGGACATTGCTTGAGCTCTTTTGGGAGTTTATTCCAGACCTTCAGACTACTGACTGAAATGCACGTTCTCTTCATGGTGGTTCAGACCCTAAAGGTTCTAAAGTCAGGGTTTCCCTGTAGTCATAGCCCCCACTGTATCAGAAAACAGCTTTTGATTATTTTCTGGTGGTATTTTATTTCTAACTTTACACATAAACCGAGGTATTTGAAACTCTACCAGATCTGGGAGTTTGAGGAGGCTGAACTGTAAAAATAGTACATAAGTATTAGGTTGTAAGTTTGAAAAGAAAAATCTATGTAAGGTATTTGATATTATTTTTGCATTTACTATAACAAGTTGAAACGATTCTGGAGCTTTGTTTTATAAGGCAGAGCAAGTCTTTCGTGCCAAGTGATGCAATGTGTCTTATTTGCATAGTAAAACTTCTCACTCTAACTTTTGGCGCTCAGCCAAAAAAAGATAAACACTTCAGTGTTAGACTTATGTGCAACTATGTATGACTTACTGATTTGCATAAGCCGGGCTTCCTGGGCAGGAAAGGCTTGCCTGCATTTCACTGTTGAAAGGATCTCAATTTATTCAACAGTAATCTCATTAATTATCAGTTCTTGTGGTTTTCCTTGAGTGCAAGACACATCTCTGAACTGTACCAGGGATCTGTAAATAACACAGCACCCAATCAATTACAATTTACAATTACATTTAAAATATTTACTAGAAATATTTTTTTGTAACATTTCGGATTATTCTGTACACTGTGAGCAAATTGAGCTATTCTGAGATCAGCTGAATTAAGCTGTCGATATTTCACTGAAAGTTCTTTACCTACTGTAATATATCTATCTATCTATATATATATATATATATATATATATATATATATATATATATATATATATATATATATATATATATACACTACCATTCAAAAGTTTTTTTTGAACATCTACAGTGAAGAGGCAGCGGCAATATTCTGTGCTTAGGGCAGAGTGGCAAAGAAAAAGCCATATCTGAGACTGGCCAATAAAAGTAAAAGATTAATATGGGCAAAAGAACACAGACATTGGACAGAGGAAGACTGGAAAAAAGTGTTGTGGACGGATGAATCCAAGTTTGAGGTGTTTGGATCACAAAGAAGAAAGCTTGTGAGACGCAGAACAAATTAAAAGATGCTGCAAGAATGCCTGAAGCCATCTGTTAAGCATGGTGGAGGTAATGTGATGGTCTGAGGCTGCTTTGGTGCTGGTAAGGTGGGAGATTTGTACGGGGTAAAAGGAATTCTGAATAAGGAAGGCTATCAATCACTATATATATATATATATATATATATATATATATATATATATATATATATGATAATGTTTTATCTTTAATGTAATATCAGTTTGACTGGTTTTGTGCTCTTATTTTTTTTCTTCCTCTTTGTTAATATGTTTTACTCTTTAAAATTGTCATTATCCAGGACAGAACGACCCAGTATTCAGTCTAGATTGAGAGAGGAATATCTTAAAAAGTGTTTTTTTAAACTGAGCTGGCTGTGGATCCATGGAATCAGTCACTAGAGCGTCTCTGACTGGAAACTCTGATGGAGAAAAACACATTAGAGAATCTGATGGTGGATGATTATCCATGTCAGTCCCTAACCGGGTTTAATAGTTCAGTCCATGACCCGAGAACGAGGTAGGATCCAGCTGTAGGGATGCCAACGAGATGCAGCGAGCACCGCCCAGAGTGTCTAGGATGATGCAGCCCTGGGGAACATGCCGTAGTCTGAGCCAGGTCAGGGAAACAGATCAGGCTGGTTTGTGGTTCCAGGAAAAGGCTCAGTGGTTGAGAGGCAGAACAGGATCAGGAAATTAGAAACACTATGATACACTAAAAACCCCTCTCACCACTGGCCCGAGGAAAATATAATCTGGCCATGATAGTACGATGCAACTACCTTAGGCCAGCCTTTAGAGCCAAGATCATGACAAAAATACCAGAACTTGTCATGATCACTATCCTGATAGCTGACCTAATTGCTCATTTCACTCACCTGTCTAACTCTGCCCAGTTACCCATTATTCCTCATCTCATCCACCTGCTACTGCTGCTTTATATATGGCTCAGTCCCAGCTATTGGGGCCTGATCAATGACATTGTTGCAAGATCATTGAGTTTGAGTTTGGAGTTTGAGATCAATGCAGTTTCCATAGTTCATGTTCTCAAGGGTTTAAGTTTTTCATAGAGTTCCTGATCATGTCAAGATTTTGTGTACCGTCGTTCAAAGTGTTTTTGGTCATGTCAAAATTTAGCGTTCCATAGTTCGTAGTGTTCCTGACCATGCCCGGCCTCTTAACCACTGAGCATCCCTGTTTTGGCTCAGTGGAGGGAGTGAGTTTTAAAGTACTGCAGTTTTCATGTTATCGTACCTTGTTCTTGTGTGTCCCATCTCGTTTAGCAGTCCATCAGCTGGATCCTGCCTCGCTCTGAGAGGATCGACTGAACTGTTGAAAGCAGAGTGCCAGTGATGGGCAGTCCCCCCGCCTCACACTGAAACCGCTGCAGATCCACAGCTCCGTGTCGTGATTATTTTTTAATAAACATTTAGAATCTTCCCACTTGCTCATTACAGAACTTGCACATAAAATCTTGCATCATAAAATATTTTGTATGTCTGATTATCCAACCGTTAGTATTTAGTATTTAGTAAAAAGTTAAATACTTTTTTACTCTTACTTTTTTGGATTTCTGAATTTTTGGATGACTTCTTTTCACTCTTACTTTAAAAAAAATTAATTGAAGTAGTGCTACCAGACTCTGACTGGTAATGTGTGATACCGGGCATTTGCCCGGCTGGAGAGTAAGTGATGGGGCCCGGCATTGAAGGAGGGCTGGTCCTCGCACACTGAAATTAGGACTGGCCCTCCTTCGATCATGCGAGCCCCAACACTTACTCTCCAGCCGGAGCACCTACCTGTGACAGTAAATAACTGAAGGAGCTCAAGAAGTAATAGAATGTTAACCACCTAAATGATGCACGCAGTATATATAGCCCTTCCTTGTCATGCACATCTTTGTGACGGTTGGCATATGGTGTCATTTCCTATTTCTTCAAACTGTAAAATCCTTACAACAAACAAAATTTTACTAAAACTAAAATACTTTCTTTAAACCAAACTACGATGTTCCTCTTTTATTTGGCGAAGTTCAAATATTTTGCAAAAATATGTTGCTGTGCATGATGGGGTTTTGGATTTGTTTACAGTATTCCATTTCATTGCCCAGATGCCATCTAGACTCGCCTCTATATTGTATTGTTTTATGTTGGTGTTTTTCCAATACCCGGCTTACGTTGTAGACCTAGTATCTGTGAGTGGGTGTCTGGCTGGCTTTTTTCAAGTGTGGACGTTACGCAGCAGCAGCAGTCACTGTCGCATTCATGTTAATAACCGAAGCCAGTAAAACCGCATTATAGAAGTCTTGGTGGTGGTTGTCGTGTGATGCTTGAGGATAGATCAGTTGCCAGGGCCGAATATCATTCCCAGTTCGAGCCTGAGTGCTTTCCACCCTCTCACACATAATTATTACGAAATTGAAAAAAGGCAAATAGTTCTGATTTTAATTTTTTTTGGCATTGTGGATGTTTGGGTGTATGTGTTTGTACTGCAGTGTAAAGGTTTGAGAGGTAAAGCAAATCAAAATGTACATAGTAAAATAATGGTTAGCAATTAGAGAAACATTGATAGAAGAACAACATAGACTCATAACATGATTATATCATTGGACATGACTTATTATGCTTTAGTCCCAGGCCAGAGTCTTTAATCCTAGTTTAGACCAGTCCTACTGCCTGAGTCATAGCATTACACCCAAAGCACAGGTGCAGCACCGTTATTTGCCTTATCAGGAAAGAGCATTAAAACTGAGTCATCATTAAAAAAATAAAATTAAATAAAAAAATATGGGGGGAATATTATATAGCTTATATGACTGCAGTTTGGTGGTGGTTCCAAATGTTGCATGTAGATGATTTAAATAAACACACACACACACACACAGACATATATACTTATAGATAGATAGTTGTGTGTTGGTGTGTGTGTATGTGTTTGATACCTCTAAATATGGTGTGTCTGTGTGCAGCTGCCTGCTGAGGGCTTTCCATTGCACCCCCCATCCCTCCCATTGTCAACTCACACCCTCTCATCCATTCATGGATTGAGCTAGCAAATGGGCTGTCAGTGTGTGTGTGTGTGTGTGTGTGTGTGTGTGTGTGTGTGTCTGTGAGGGAGGGCTACAAAGGGGTGGAGTCATTTTACCGTATCTTAAAGGTCCTATTTTATTGGTAGATAGATGGTTGCTTGTTAGTTGTTAGATATCTGCCTTCATATTGGTTGATGGAGCAGCCTTAGTGCAAGCAGGGAATGGTAGCTGAGTTACACTCCATCTGCTGTCAATCACATTGATAAACCTGCAGCCTCATGATATCAAATTGAGCCTCTTTTGATCAAAGAAGAATGTAAAAGGTTGATAGGTTTTGCTTCTAGCTGAAAAGGAATCACCTTAAGCGTCACTCTGCTTGGACTGGTTTGTTTTTTCCTTACTCTCTTGGTGGATGCTGTCATACCCTCCTCTGTTAAAAAAAAAAAGGGAAACCAACACTATTTTTGCATACTGGGCTGATTTCAACTCTTGCAAAACTGGGAAACTCCTCCTTTGAATTTGAGCTTCTAAGCCTAAACTGTCCAAAGGCAGCATTTCATGAAAGACGTTTTAGGGTTCGTCAGCTTCTATCTGCTCGGTTTCTGGAACTTTTTGGTAAGTTGTACTCATGTTGTCTTTAACATTATGCAGTACACATTTGGTACACTTTGTCGTAGGTTGCATCAGTTTTCTGCTGTACATGCAAACATTTTGCCTCTGTGTCTTAAATATTTGTGTATCTGATAAAACTTTACTATTGATAGTTATATGATCTGTTTTCTAGCATTTGTGTGCTCAAAACTTACAACTTGTAAGTTTGTGCTGAATTTAACATTTAGATATTTTCCATCATATTAATAAATGAAAACCTATTTGTTTTGCTAACAGTGAAATTTAATTGTTTTTTTTTTCTTTCATGAAAGTTAATTAAAGGAACATACCAGTTTTAAGGAAACATTTTGGAGGAAATTCATCACGTTCCACTCTAGATCTAAGCATTGTTTTTGCTTTGCTATCACATAAAACAAATACAATTTTATAATTCCGTTAAGGTTAAAAAAAATAATCCACTGGACTTGGTTTCCAAGATTTGAAGACGTTTCGCCACCTCTCCAGGAAGCTTTCTCAATTCAATTCAATTCAATTCATTTGAATTGAGAAAGCTTCCTGTAAAGGTGGCGAAACGTCTTCAAACCTTGGAAACAAAGTCCAGTGGATTGTTTTTTTTTTTTTAACCTTTACGGAATGACTATGACCTGGATGACTAATAATCTTCATCAGCACAATTTTAGAATAATTTAAATAAGGAAACCTTTTAAAGAAGTCATTCTTTGATTTTAGATTTGAATATCAAGGCAAACTTAGGCGCTTTAGTCGGTGAAATTAAGAGGTGAATATTAGGGTTTATGCTGAGCCCCCGCCTATGGGGCAACACAACAGACAGACAGTGGTGATATGTATCATGGAAGATGAATCTGGACACCACCAGTTGCAGGAAAAAGGCAAAGGTGGGTAGAAGAGGAGGAGGATGCTTTCAGGGAGGTCCCCTGTGGCTTCAGTAGGCATCTGTTCACCCCCTCCCCAATCCTCTCCACCCAGCCGGTCATGATTTTACGTGAGTGGCTCTCCGTCGGGCTCATCCGGCAAATGGCAGCCGTCCGGCGCTGGGCCCTAAGGGACTGGTCAGGGTCTGATCTCAGGGGAGCTCACCTTCCCCACACCCCAAACCCCCAAGGGGGGTAACCCTGGATCATCACATACATGGAGAGGCATTTAGTGCACTTGCACTGCAGGCAGAAAGGGTCCCTGAGGTTGAGGCTGCAGCATCTGCTCTCTGTGGAAGAACTTGCACAGGATTTACATAGTTACAAAAAATATCCTATAAAACAAGCAACACGTTATATATGATGTACCGTAAGCTATTAAAACAGACTTTTTTTCCACTCTGCTGTTTTAACAGAAATGATCTTATCACCATATCTTAAGAAGTTTCCTGATCTTGGGAAATGACTAAACTGTAAAAGACTTATGGAAATATTTTAGAATTTTGACACAAATCCCTAAAATCATGCTAGATGACAGAGTATTATTAAAATGTTTAGTGATTTAGATGTGCAGAGAGCAGCTAAAGAACAGATAGAAATCTTTCAAAGTCTGGCAAAATTATTATTATGCAAATTAGAATCTGCCTGAATAACTGAATATGTTAAGCTCCTTTTTTCTCTTGCACTCCAATTGAAATATTATTGGTGGATTTATACTATTGTATTTTTTTTTTATAAACATAATAGCAGCAGGGTTGTTTTTTTTTCCAACAAGTTCATTACAAGTTCACCTTACTTGGAATTATGAGGTAATCTTCCAAATAGGCCTTTAACATTAAAATAATGCTTCCCAACAATGTGATATAAAAGTAATTTTAAATGATTTTTTCCACAATTTATAAATCTAGAAACCGTGAGGAATTTGAATTTTTTATTCCACTAAACGAAATTATTCTTCCTGTTAGGTCAGTAGGCATTGCTCTCACAGTCACTGCTTTTTGCTTTTGTTTCCCATGGCACTCTCATTTCTGCTGACTCCTCAAAGACTATCTGCAGCTGATGCTGGTGTGTCTGCTGCATTACCAGCAATGTTTTGCATGTATCCTTGCATGTGTATGTGTGTGTGTGTGTTTTTAAGGGGGGGTGATTTGAAACCCCCCTCCACACCCCGCCTGCGTCTGTGCATGCTGCTCCGGCCCGAGAGAACAATACTGCCGTCACAGGGGGACAGATTGGGTGGCAGCTGCATTGTTGAAGGACAGCAAGCCAGACACACTTCTTCCCCCCTACCCACCCCAATACACACAAGCGCTCTCTCGCTCCCTCCCTTTGTGCTGCTTTTGTTGTTGGTGAACTAAATTATTCCAGCTCTCTTGTGGCATTCAGGATGACAAACAGCGGTACGGCAGATTAGACGACAGGGTCGGGACATAAAGGGGCCCCTGCTTTCCGGTGCCTTGGTCTGCGATTTCAAATATTACTCCTCACAAATGAGAATGGGACCAAAAGTGCCCTTTTTCATCTTTTGAACTAGTTTGAATAGGTTGGTGGACAGAATTGTATTTACACAACTTAGATTTTTGACCGATTTCTCATCCACAGAAAATTTCTGTTTCTACATCAAGTTACACCGAGTATCAATCAGAGATCAACCAATACAGCGTTTTTATATCCAATGTTGACACCTAATATTATGACATCAGTCTAACAGATTCTTGATTTGTGCTGCTGATATTTTTTGACCGATTCCTACAACTGATATTGCTTTTTCTTTCTCCATTTACATGATTAAAAAATGACACAGTAAAATCTTTACTGTTACTTTTGCTTAAACAAAAAGAAACATTCATTAAAAAAATCTAACAAAACATTAATATTATAATGGAGGGAGCGGCAATGCATGCACCTAATGGGATCTCAAGGCATGGCTACTGAATGGGCTTTAATCCACCAACACATAAGCACATCGGCTGATACCACTGCAAGAAAATAAGACGTTAATATTGGCCAAAAATATGGGCCTAGGTATTGTTTATGTCTACTATCAGTCCCTGAGGATAGTGGGTGAACCATACAGCTCAGAAAAACACAGGAATGTACTCTGCCTTCTACAATCAACAACAATCCAATGATTTGTACTAAGTGAACTAAAAGCTGTCGAGGGGATCCACGTTAAACGGGTGGCATAGCAATGCTCTCAGTAGCATAGCATGCATAGCAATGCTCTGTGTCACAACACCAGATTACCCCATTATGATGTTAGTGGAAACATTGGGAAAGAGGTTTTGAAAAACAGACTTTTTGTCTGTTTAAAAAAAACAACAACCTTGTTTTGGTTCAGTTTGTTCCGTATAAAGCAGACTTACTCTTCAGCAAGTCCAAGTTTGATTTTCAATGTGGTGGCAGGGCATACTTATGATATATAAGGTTGAAAATATAAAAGGTTAGTTTACATGCAAAGATTTAAAAATTGTTGATGGATTTTCAAAACGCATGATTAAATATCAGGGTTCGTATGGTGTGATCTCTCCAGCCACACACACAGTCACTAGAGACGATTCTGATGCTCTCAATGCGCATCGAGTGAAGAGTCTGCAGATGGTCTTTGTGTACAATGGCAGATGCAATCAAGGGAGTGGATTTATTTCATGTGATAAGTGGGAAAAGGGTCGCTTTAGGATGTTTTTAAATGACAAAGTTCAGCTCAAAACATCATCTGTGCAGTTAGTTCATTGGGATTATGATCCTTACCTTTAAATATTTGTTATATTTAAATATTTCTTCCCTGCCTGCAAACCAGCAGGCTGGGGATCCCCAGTGACAGCTCCCTAAGCCACGGATTTCCCACTGCTGTTAGTAGAAGCTGGAAGTGAATATAAAGTTGTTGATTTTTATGTGGTAAAAACTATAAGTATCAGGGTGTAACAAAAAATATTTTTTACCTGCAACTTTTGACATTTTAAGTTAAATTAGGGAAGAATAATAAACTGTGTTGTTTCTAGCACTCTATAGAGCAGGGGTAAGCAATTAAAAATCAGTTGGGTCCAAATAAAGAAAATCAACAACCAGTAAAGGTCCAGAGACATTTTTAATTATAATCCGTTACTTTAAACAGCACTTAACACTGAAATAAGAAGAGGTATTTATGCATCCATTTTATACAAAAGAAAAAGAAATAGAAAAGGTTTCCATTTTGTGTTTTTTGAAGTAGAGAACAACGATCTTTCGGTTCCAGATTCAAATGTTTTATAAAACACCTGAACTGACTGTTATTTTCTTTTCTTTTTTTAATGGCCTTTCAATGAGAGAAGTGGGTTTAAGGTTGACCTGCAAGGCTTTAAATTAGGGATGCACGATATTGGGATTTTGGCCGATATCCGATATGCTGATATTTTAAAACTCATGTAGCCGATAACCGATATCGATACCGATGTTAAAGCTGGACAAAAATAAGTAGTCATTGAAAATAGCAGTTTTGTTATCTATTTCTGACACTTTGAAAAATAATATACTCAAATATATTTTCATATGCTGATATCAAATTGATTTTTAAAAACGCGGTATCGATCTATTTTACTTTCAAAATCTCGTGAAATTTCATTGTTCTGTTACAAACTCTCCTGATATTTTGCAAATTCTTGTGAGATTTTGTTAGTAAAATAGATCGATACCGCGTCAATATATCAACATATAAAAATATGGCAAAATTTCGTGAATTTTCGGGGGATTTCGTAGCAAAACGATGACATAGCAATATTTCATTAGTAAAAGAGATTGATATGGTGTTTTTAAATGGCAATATATCAGCATAGGAAGATATTGTGATATTTTAATGTATCAATATTTTTCCCTCGTCTTTAGAAGTTTTTAAGTCTGTAAAAAATACGTTTTTGAGGAAGAAGAAGAAGTAGTATTTTTTTTTTTTTTAGACTTTAGAAACTCAGAAGCTGATCAAATATCGGGTTAAGTATCGGTGGGGTGGCCGATGTCCGATATTCAGTTTTAAGGCCGATACCGATAGGGGGCCGATTATATTGTGCATCCCTACTTTAAACCTGAGTTTGAATGGTGACAAAAAGCACATATCAAGGTGCTCATTTTGAGCCTGGATCCATGTTTATTTTTTATTATATTCATGGTGGAGAATCCTGCTTCACAGCAGCAGGTTGAGCAAAACACACTCAAAATGTGCAGGGTCATCTTCGAGCACACAATTTAACTTTTGTTTCACCATTTTGTTTCTTCCAGCAGTCCACACTTTCCCTTCTTTCATTTTCTCATCGTCTTGCTGTGTCAAAACGTAACTAGCAGCAGCAACCCAGACTGACAGCAGCTCATTGGCTAATTTGTATCACATGTAGCCTCGTCCCGGACGCTCCGAAACTCTTTACCGTATTAACAGGAGAAGCTGAGCAGGTGAATTTAGACAATGTCATCGGACATCCTGCGGTAAATTATAAATGTTTTAAATCAGGTTATGCCTGGATTAGCCAGCAGGTGGGTCCGTATCCGGACCCCGGTCCGTTAATCCTTGACCTCTGCTATAGAGTATCGGGTCAAGACAATGCCAGATCTGCAATCAGAAGGGGTTGGTACATTCTAGCAACCAGACCTGTCACTCTATACACATTAATATCAGCTGAGATCGGTACTATTGTCTTGCTTTATGAACTCGCCTAATACTGTTTTAAAAAAAACCTGATCTTTGTTTCCTGCAAAGTGGTGGCACACACTCTGATATGGTGACCAAAGCATAATATTAGGATAGGATATCAATCTAAAAGGATAATTTTTTCATACTTTTTTGCATCGATGAAGCTTTAGTTTTATCAGAGTGAGTTCTGTTTACATTTTGATATAAAAATAGTTAAATTCCAATTTGAAAATACAACAAAAAAATAAATAAATTTCCAACTGGGAAAATCAGAGGACTTCAAGCAGTTATCAGTATCCAATTGGGCACTTAGATTTATAAACCTTTGGTGAATGACACTTTGTAACTAATCTGTTATGAAGCAAGAGGCCCACATAGTGCATATCAGCATGCATTGCTAGTTGCAGTCAGAAACACAACAATCAGCTAATTCCACTGCGTTTTCCTGTTTGCAGCTATGATCAGGCTTTAATGGTTGATGCTTTCCAAGGCCAATGGAATGCAACACTTCAGCTATTTTCTGCTATTTGTTAATTTACTTGTTAAGCATCAAAGAACGTGTTGTGGTATTATTAAAAAAGTACTTCAAGCTCTGAAAAAGTAGGTTGAACAAATATAAGACTTTTAACCAAGAAAACAGCCTTATAAACCTAAATACAGACTTAAATCATCTAGAATATACATTATTAAACTCAACTAGTGTGCAGTCAGATGTTAACCTTAAATAAAAGATCAAATGGTAAAATACATTTGCACATTTATTTCCTGCTTTATTTTCATGTTCTTTTTCAGTCCTACTTTCCTTATCTGAAAACCTATTTTCTGTCAAGTTTAAAGCACATCCGTGAGCATCTGATACAATCAGATGCATGTTTTAGAAAGCCTTCAAGTGCTTTGATGGTTCGGAAGTACCCTATAAAGCAAGGGTATTTCCACAGACCAACAAACCCACACGCAAACAGTCTTATGTTGTTTTTTTGGTGTGAAAAAGCAACAGAAAAAGGCTATATTGTCTGTATAGTTGCAGTTATTGTATGAGTGGTCTGTAACTTCCAGCTCCTTTGTGAGTTAACATCATGATTCACACTGAGCACAAAAGGAAAGATTCAGGATTCAGTAAACAGAAGGTCTGTTGGTGCAGAGGCAGGTTTTATGACATTAAACCAGTAAATAGACTGACCAAAATCCAGAGATATGGAATAATATGATAATAACTGAAAAACACATTATTCAAAGCATGACCTACAGTGTGTATATGAGGCATGGACATATGGGAGTATAATACCTGCTTTCCAGAGTTTAAAAAATCAAATGGCTAACATTTTTTCAGCTAGATGCTTTTAATCTGCAACAAGAATCATAGATCCATGAACGTGTCCTATAGGACACCTTTAATACTGCAGGCCTGGTCCTGGGATCAGTCAAGAAACAGTTAAAGTGAGGAAACGTATGCCCTAATTTGGCCCCAAAGTTTAGACCCGGCCAGATAAAATCATGCACTGGCAATGGATTGTATGGCACAGATTGAGAAGAGAAAAAATAAAACAAAGAACTAAGTCTTTTTATGGGTCTCTGTTGCCACTTTGGTATTCAAAAACACTTGTTCTCCTGCATCTCTTCACTGCTCAACATACGGTAGCCCAACAAGACATCAGATATTCTCATCTTTAAATTCTTAATTGGATTTTGATTTCTGTTCTATCTTGTCAAATGTGCTGCTCTTTCATTATATCTGGTGGCTCTGAATGCTGCTAATTCCAACTGCAGGCAAATCACTCTAAAGGTTCGGAGCTCCAGGGTTGGAGACACAGCAACCGAACCCGACCCGGTGACGGTCGCTCTGTCCCCAACCCTGGAGCTCACGGCTCGGTTCTGCTGCAATGTAGTCGACCAAAATCCCACACGATTTTGAAATTCTCCCCCTGGACCCTCTGGCTTCCCCCAACCTGCCCGGTAAGGCAAGCGGGGGGAAGCATACTGTTGGTCCGGTCCAGTCAGCGGCCCAAGGTTATTGAGGTTATTCATTGATTTCTCACTATAGCTGGGACCATTTATTTTAGTTTCATTTCCAGACCTTTTATTTCCCTACTTGATAAGCGGCTGTGTGGAGATCTTTATGCCACATGGTAAGGAAAGATCTACTGCACCTTTAAGGTGCTGGTACTACCCTTAAAGTGGCTGTAGTGCCACACAGAAGGTAAGAGGGAGCTGCAGCTATTGAACAGCCCAATGCATACGAACTAGGAGCAAACACTTTACCATTCAGTTACAAAGTCCAGCAACAGCAGGCTCATGATAAGAGAGTATAAGGACATTGAAAAAAATCTAATCACAAACAGAAACATGTATTTGCTTGATGTTAGTGCAGAGGAAAATTGCAATAAAATTACAATCCTAATTTTAGTTTTTTTTTAACTGTTTTGATCTAAGAACTGTTACTAAACAGGAGAACCAACCATGTCTTGCATATACACGGGGGTGTTCAGTCAGTAAGGATGTTCACTTTTCTGGGAGTAGAAAATTTTATTGTAGCAAAAACGAAAGAAAAGACAAAGATATGATTAATTTTATTATTAGATTTCAAATGTATGCTGTATTTTTCTCAATTCTATAATAATATTGATTTTCAGTGTTCCCTGTTAGTGAGGATTGGAATTGTCCAACTACTATGACACCACTGGCCCCCTGTGCCTGATGCAGGTATTCAGGATCACAGCTACACGACTAGTCAGCTTTTATCTCTCTGTCCATTTCCTGTCTATTACTACAGATAAAGACCAGGTTAACAAGTCAAATAAATATGCTGGAATTTCTATTTAAGATTCTCTGTATTCAAATCATGGTGCTCACATGATTCACATGATAACGCACTCGCACGAGTTCCTGCAACTCAAACAGAGACGATCAACATGTAGTCTGGATCGTCAGATACAACAAGAAAACATTTGACAAACTAAAGACATTAAGGGCAGCTTCTTTGCTGCTTGCATCATTATATCTATTAAATTGACTCACATATTGTCATTCTGTTGTCCTCCCATGGGGCTCTTCATAATTTAATAAAAAGAGCAGCTCTGGCTGGCTGCTACATGCAAATAATGGGGGTGTTTGCTTCCAAGCAAAACCAAGTTATCAACTTCTTTGGTCCATGCTTGGTAAGAGGTATAAGGTTTTCTTGAATTACAGAGGCCTGTAATTCAAACATTAATTTAGGCATGGTTTACAAAGGCTGGGAAAAAACCTAGACCATGTAGGAGAGTTTGTAAGGATGACCAGGAATCACCTTTTAGATAGCTGAGGCTTAATGTAAGTATAGGTGTTGTTATCATTTCTGTTAGAATAAGCCAGGGGTTATGTGTGTGTGTTGAGTGTCTTCATCTCAACTCTCGATTTTACTAATTAACTTGGTAGTTCTACATCTAAGATAGAATTTCTGAATAAGTCATCATGAAGCTGAGAAAAAAAAAAAAATTGCTTCCTGAGATCCCAATAGGGAAATGAGGTTGATTGTGTACTGAGGCTTTGTCTTAACACACCCGAATAACCACAAAGGGGTGTATTGAGACATCCATGTATCTGTCATCATCTGCAATTGTTTTTTTTATGTTTGTTTACCTGCACAGCCACCTTTTCAGCCACCACCTGAACCTACACGTATGTACGCATGTTCTTTTTTTTGTGTTACTTTAAGAGGAGCACATAGATATTTTATAGCACATTTTATAAATTGCGTGCACTATAGCAGTTTTCATCAGGGACTAACCTATTGCTTTTCAGGCTTTCTTTGTTTTATCACCCTACAAGTTGTTTCAGCTTCCATGAATTATATTGAAGCACTGAACATATGCAAATTCTGGTGTATTTCCCTGGAAATTAACCATGAGATTGTTTTGTTGTTTTTTCCTCCTAGCTTCCCTCACAGGGCGTCTGTAATTTAGCAGTTTGCTACGAGCAGAAGAGTTGGGCTCGATACGGTGCTTTGGAGCTGACGGAGGAAGAGGAGCTGGATGTATGAGAAGGCTTCATGGGCCTAAGGGACCATCTGGACGATGGAACTGGCCACATGCTCAGCCTGGGGCTGGATCTGGACTATCTCAGTGTCGATGGTGCTAAGAAGCGGACCCAAAATAATCTGAAGGCTTCTGAAATCCTCCAGGTCAGAGGTGGTGCCCAAAGCAGCAGCAGTTACAATAGTGATGGGAGCACAAATAGTACAAATTTGAGTTACAGCAGCAGTTGCAGTACTTTTTCTGAGGAGAGTGCTCTTTCCGACAACGATGAAGAACAGCATCAGACAGGCTTCGATTCTGGACCTGAAATCTCCAACCAAGATCCGCTTCACTTTCACCAAAACTCCTCCTTACAATGTAAACAGGTCAGGCTGGACCTGGCACCAAACCTGTCCACAGGAGAACCACCACAGTCGGAAACATTAGCTCCTGCTGAGTTCATTTCAGACTGTCGCACCAAGGTCGACTTTGCTCTTAAGCTTGGCTACTCAGAAGAGCTGGTGCTGTTAGTCTTAAGGAAACTGGGACCAGACGCACTTATTAATGACATCCTAGGAGAGCTGGTCAAACTGGGAACCAAGACAGAGATGGAACAACAGAAAGGTCTAACAGCGTCCCATTCTTCATCCTCCTCTTTGTCCTCCCTAACGTCTAACTCTTCCCTGGAGTCTTGTCAGCTACAGTCCCCATCCCCACTGCTGGAAGACAAGCACAACTTTCGACCTGTTGTCATAGATGGCAGCAATGTAGCAATGAGGTGAGGAACAAAGTTCTTCCTTTTTAAAAACAGATAAAAAGCTGTTATAACATATTTATTTAAAAATTCAGTTTTCTGTACTAAGATCTAAGAAAGGGACTAACTCAATATATGCGCTTACAAATCAGCATCCATACAATCATAATGCGACATTTGATATCTGGTCTTTTTTCTGATGTGACGCTAATTTTATATGCTGGAAGATATTTTACTGATTCAAAACATTTTTATTTTAGGCTTATTTGTTTACCCAACAACCTCACATTTTTTCCTCTGACAGTAGCACAAATTGAGAAACGGGTCCCAGAATGTAAAAGTTCCATAATCAGTATAACTAAAATCTGTAGGTAATATTGAATACATGTGCAACATGCCTGCGAAACCCACAGAACACCAACAGTAATAGTGGTAGATTTCAGATAACTTACGGTGCTTACGGTGCTCTAACAATAACAATGGTTTCCCAACAAAGTTCTTATTTTTCCCCCTAATTTGTAAGCAGGAAGTGTTTGAGCTGTTCATTTTCAAAGGACATACTGTCAGCTAGTGGTATGGTGGATACAGTGGTGAGCAAATATATGATTTTAAGTAAATTCAAAAAGTCATGAAAACACAAAAACATGTGCTGCTATGAAGAAATGCTGCAATCACAGAAAATAGAGACCAGCAAAGTGGAAACACCCTGCAAACAGAAAAAAAACTGCTAAAGATAATTACATGATGCTAACATAAACCACATGCAAAGGAAGAAAATCTGCAAACAGGAAAAACAGCTGCAAATAAGGTGATGAGACATTCCTCTTTTATCTCTTTCTGCAGTACGGTGCCGCATTTTTTACTTGAATTGAAACAATTCACATTTTACTGGGTCGAATTGAAGTAAAAAAAAATTATTTCAGGGGGCTTTTCCTAAATATTAAGAAAGCAAAGTTGCACTCATTGTCACAAAGTTGTTCCGGCTGTTTGTCAAAATACAAAGCAAAGCCGCACGTCATGAACAACCTATGCACCAGAAATATAACAGAACAAGTAAAGGGTTTTAATACAGAATATAATGGAAACTACATTTAAAGAAAATAAAATCCAGCAACAGAAATTTTATTTATAACTGGATGAGGCCAGCGAAAGGTAATTATCAAAGAACCTTTTCTAAGGTTTATTAAAGTTATTTCCAAATTTAACAAACAAGGAAGGGCAATTACAAACCAACTTAACTAAGAAAGCAACGTTTTCTTTCCAATTTGCTGCTTGTGGTTGCCATGACCCGGATGACTTAGAATTTACACAGGCAAGGAAGTGAGAAGTAAAGCACCACTTCAAAAGAGTCGCATTGCAAACCCCTAGCTGGAAAAGTCGCGTTGTCCCTCATAAGCACTTTGTCCAACATTAGTTTTTTTGCAATTCAGTTATCATAATGGCAAGTTAAGAGAAGCTGCGCGGTAGATCTACATGGCGGAAGTGATCCAAACTATTAGGGGGAGATGAAATACGTATAATACAAATGGTAAATGGCATGTACTTATATAGCGCCTTTTTTCAAGTCAAGAGACTTGACCAAAGCGCTTTACACTACATTCATTCACCCATTCACACATACACTGATGGTGGCAAGCTACATTGTAGCCACAGCTGCCCTGGGGCTCACTGACAGAAGCGGGGCTGCCGTACACTGGTGCCACCGGGCCCTCTGACCACCATCAGTAGACAATGCAGGTGAAGTGTCTTGCCCAAGGTCACAACAACAATGAAAGTCGGAGCCGGGGCTTGTACCGTCAACCCTTCGATTTCAGGGCAAACTCCAACATCCAACGCCACTGTAATACAAGACCATAGACTACTAAGAATTAATGTCTAAAGGCGGGTTATCCTCCTGCAGCAGTGTGTCGCAGTGAGCTTGATGCAGATATTTTTGATTTATGCCCAGTTTTGAAGCGTGGTCTGCGCCTTTTTATTCCACGCCACAACGCAAGAGGGACAATCACAAACCAGCTGTGGGTTTAGATACGGATGAGGCGGTGAGGAAGTGGAAAAATGCGAGGGGCAAGTTTGTGCGACAACGGAGGGACATGAGGGCTAAAAAGAGAGGGGATCCAGGTGGAAAAAGGGTCCCAGCGTTCTCGTACACCTCGCTCTTCTAGTTGGTCCATTTTCACGAATCGTTTTCCACAATGGCAGTCATAGAAAACAAAACAAACCAGTAAGGTACCAAACAGGAAAAACGCATAACCCTCGTCTGCTTATCCCTTTGCCAAGGGTTGTTCCCCAATATGATTTGATGATCACCCCTCCTAGTGGTCTAAAGCACTGCCATCATGGGACACTAGTTTGCAGCTGTTCCTACCTTTTTTTATAACCCATATACATATGTATGTTCTTGAACTGAGTCATAATTCTCTTGTATGTGAAATTGGACCCAAAACCAAGCAAACCATCCAAGAATAAACACAAAAGAGGCTTAAATTAGAAGCAGTCAGGGTTTCATTCAGTTTTTCTGAAGATGTTTTAAAATCTGTCCAGGAATCTTTTTCATTTCTTTTGGCCTAAACCTGAACAGCCTCTAGATCAGGGGTCTCAAACCAGTTCCAGAAAGGGCCGTGTGGCTGCAGCTTTCCAACCAAGCAATGGCACACCAGACTCCATTCATCTCATCAACTGAGTGCAATCTTAACACAATGACTTGATGCATGCACGATATATCCCCAAAATGATTTTTCCCACACCCGTACAAGAATGGTGGGTGGGTTTTAGATTTGTATCTGAATAAGCTAAGGACGATGACCTCTATGCTGCCTGAGTACATCATGCACTCCAGCTAAAGATTGATCTGCTCCAAACCAACAGGGCTGACAAAGACTCCTGAATAGGTGTCAAATCTTCAAAAGTACTGAACTTTGCCTGTTTTGTGGTTTTCATGATATACGTGACTGAGAATCTACAATTCAATTCATTTCAGTTCATTTTTAAAGTGCCAATTCACAACATCTCAAGGCACTTTACAGTTCACCAACTCATACAGCCAAATTGATTCAAAGTTTTCTATCTANCAATGGCAGTCATAGAAAACAAAACAAACCAGTAAGGTACCAAACAGGAAAAACGCATAACCCTCGTCTGCTTATCCCTTTGCCAAGGGTTGTTCCCCAATATGATTTGATGATCACCCCTCCTAGTGGTCTAAAGCACTGCCATCATGGGACACTAGTTTTACTTTCCAAATTTGCTTTGCTGATCTTTATTTTCTGTGATTGCAGCATTTCTCTTTTACAATATTCTTTATTTAATTATAAATCAAAATTTTCGTTGCATCTGATTTTAGTATTTGTAAGTTTATTAAAGTTTTAAAGACTTTTTCAATCTGCTGTAAAATCATGCTTTTGCATGCCATTTCCACCCTCCAACCATTGTAGGCGAAGGAAATACACCACAACATACCATGACACTAAGAAGAAAGCTTAGAAGAAAACACAATGCAGCCAAAAGCTGCTATATAGACACCAAGCCAAGGCATTGCAGGGATTTAAAGTTTTGTAGAACACATATACATACGTATATTTGTATATCCTGCATTACATGTACTTGAACTGATTCATAATTCTCTTGTATGTGAAATTGGACCCAAAACTATACCCACAACTAAGCAAAACATCCAAGAATAAACACAAAAGAGGCTTAAATTAGAAACAATCAGGCTTTCATTCAGTTTTTCTAAAGATGTTTTAAAATCTGTCCAGGAATCTTTTTCATTTCTTTTGGCCTAAACCTGAGCAGCCTCTACTGTAGATCAGGGGTCTCAAACCAGTTCCAGAAAGGGCCGTGTGGCTGCAGGTTTTCTTTCCAACCAAGAAATAGCTCACCACACTCAACTGGGTGCAATCTGAACATGATGACTTGATGAGATGAATGGAGTCTGGTGAGCTATTTCTTGGTTGGAAAGAAAACCTGCAGTCACACGGCCCTTTCTGGAACTGGTTTCAGACCCCTGCTCTAGATGGAGCACTGATATTTTCTTCATATAGCCCATTCATGATGAAATACTCCAACAACTCAGGAGGGGGGAGTATTGATTGGCATGGCTGCTGCGATATGAAACGTGTCACGATACTTGGGTCACAATACAATTTCATCACGATATTGGAATATCACTATATAATGCCATATAAAGATTAAATGTATAGATAAAAAGCAAGTGTTATATTTTAGAAGGGATTGGTGGCCTAGTGGTTAGATCATAGAGCTTGGAATCCCAAGGTTCGAGCCCCACTCCCGGGATGGGTTACATGCAGAGAGTGAATTTCTGTACTAGTGTACAGAGCAATGAAACTTGTGTACAGTGTAATGACAATAAAACCATGGAAAAGAAAATATATATATATCTTTATCAGAAGATATTGATCAGTTAGGTATTTTGGTATCCTTGCTGTTTGAGGTTCGAGTCAGTCCATGTCTTCCACTGTGACTGCCTCAACTACAAATGTGGCACTGCACTGCACGCAAAAGGGCTTCACAGCTCTATATGCTAGAGTGTTGGTGCAGCTGAAAATCACGATATATCACCAAATTGATTTTTCCCACACCCGTACGAGAATGATTGGTGGGTCTTAGATTTGTACCTGAATAAGCTTAGGGGGATGGACTGTGCTGCCTAAGTACATCAGCACTCCAGCTAAAGATTGATCTGCTGCAAACCAACAGGGCTGACAAAGACTCCTGAATAGGTGTCAAAACATCTTCAAAAGTACTGAACTGAGTCCGCTTGCCTCCAATTTACCTGTTTTGTGGTTTTCATGATACACGTGACTGAGAATTTACAATTCAATTAATTTCATTTTATTTATATACTGCCAATTCACAATACATGTTATCTCAAGGCACTTTACAGTTCACCAGATCATCCAGTCAAATTGATTCAAAGTTTTCTATCTAAGGAAAACCAGTTGATTGCATTGACTCATTGACTCAAATACAATTCCTCACATTAAGCATGCTTGTAGCGACAGTGGGGAGGAAAATCTCCCTTTTAACAGGAAGAAACCTCCAGTAGAACCAGGCTCAGTGTGAGCGGCCATCTGCCGAGGCCGACTGGGGTTCAAGGAGAAAGAAGCAGAGATACAAAAGGCAACTGTAAAAGGCTCCCCCATCCAGGAAACACACATCCTGGCTCCGGATCAGATCCCTTGCCAGAGGATGAAGAGAGCACAACCAGCCAGTCACATCCAGTGAAACAGGAACACAGTGAAAATCAGGCTGATCTACAACATGTATAAACAAAAGTATTGATGGCAGCAGCACAGCTGATATTTCTCTCCAGGATGGTGTCACATTCAAACAGGGACAGACAAGGCAAAGCTACTATTAGAAAAAGCAGAGAGTGCATAACATTAGAGATTGAACTAACAGATTCTGCAGAGTGGAAGAATAGAGATAGAATGAAGCAGAATGTTGAAATAGGGGTCCTTATGTCCTCCAGCAGTGTAAGTCTATAGCAGCATATCTATAGAGATAGCTCAGGATGACCTGAGCCACTCTAACTATAAGCTTTATCAAAAAGGAAAGTTTTAAGCCTACCCTTAAAACACAGGTAGGTTAAACAGTAGTTTACACAGGTATCCAATGGAAAAACAATGGTGTATTTAAGAAGTGCAACATACCAGTTAGCTCAGCTGTCATTGTCATGTTAGCTGCATTGTCTATGTGAAGATTATTTGCTTTGGGTTTCCAGGTTTCAGTTGTGTCTTTGGTGCTGCTTGCTTGTCAATGTGGTGCCTCTGTAGGCGAGCCCACAAGTTGATCGTGTTTCCAGTATATCGAAGTGCATCATTACAATACCTGCTTATCGCATTTGTTTTGTCAAGTCCTTGGCTCTTTTCACTGACTTTAAAGTAATAATGTTCCTAAACATCTGATTTTAGAAGGAAAGGCACTTCTAAAATCCTGACGGCCATTCCGCAAATTCCTCTCACTTGCACTTCCTTGCTGTGAACAATTAGGGCGCACTGTAATAGTGCCTGCTAGGGATTTTTAGGTATATTGATATTGAAAGCCACAATAATGATAATAAATCATTTTTAAAAAACATCGACATTAATTGTATCAATTTTAATGCACAGCCTAGTGTTTGATTATTTCTTTTTTTTACTTGTCAGTCTTATAGAACAAAAGCTAATTGGACTCTACTGGTGGTTTACAAAGGATTCATAGATGCCTTCTCTTTTTGGTTCTATATTATGATACAGAGTTATACAGAATTAAACTGTGCTAAAATATCAATTTTACTCTGTCCAAATCCATACAAAAACTTTGCACTCAGAAGTGGGCCATTTGTAAAGGATTTATTCAACATGGTCTCATGCAGATGTTTTCATCATTTTAGGGTCTAAATATGGGTATGCTAAGCTGAAATATAGTGGTGGACTATAGTTTCTTTAAACTTTCAGCTCTAATTCTCACAGCTCAAAAACATAGCTAATTAATCAATTGTAGCTTTACAGTGTAGAATGAATGTATGGCAACAATTCCATATTTCTTTCTACCCTTGCAGTCATGGAAATAAAGAAGTGTTCTCCTGCCAAGGGATTCAGCTGGCTGTTGAGTGGTTCTTGGAACGAGGTCACCGTGACATCACAGTTTTTGTCCCGGCATGGAGAAAGGAGCAGTCACGACCTGATGCCCTTATCACTGGTAACAGCTACCACAGCTTTCACTTAGAATTTCCAACCCCGTGAATGAAAGGATTTGTTTGTTATATTGTAGGGAAACTTCCTCTTCCACAAGACGGAGGCAAAGGCTGATTAACTTCATACGCCACTGTTCTTTTATCTTTACTTGCTTCTGCTTCTCTTTTTGTAGACCAAGAGATCCTGAGGCGACTAGAGAAGGAAAAGATACTAGTTTTCACTCCATCTCGGCGTGTGCAGGGACGGCGTGTGGTTTGTTATGATGACAGATTCATTGTCAAACTGGCCTATGAATCAGATGGCATAATTGTTTCCAATGACAACTACCGAGACTTAGCCAATGAAAAGCCAGAGTGGAAGAAGTTTATTGACGAGCGCCTGCTGATGTACTCCTTTGTCAATGACAAGTAAGCATCTCTTTTCAAATGAAACCAGTCAGAGACAGAAAAAAGAAAATAATAAGCTTTTCTAATCAGCTTAAGAGAACCTATAAGTACCTGCATTTGGGAGGTTGTCTATGTTAGCTCTGTTTTCATGGGTACGAAATTTGTGAAATGGTAAGAGCATCTTAGCCACAACAGAGCTGTGGGTGTCACAGTTCTCAATTATTTGGCATTGAAAATAAAAGAGAAGCTAGGCATTTCTTTGTTTTAAGTATTTTAAATTTAAATAAACTTTTATGAATTGTGCTATTAGATTCATGCCTCCAGATGATCCACTTGGACGCCATGGACCAAGCCTGGAAAATTTCCTGAGGAAGAAGCCTGTTGCTGAACCAAGGAAGCAGCCCTGTCCTTATGGTACTTCATGTACAAATATATATAAAGAGCCCAACATTGGGCTGTGTATTGCTGAGAAATGTATCATAATATAAGCCTTTCATACCAGTCAATATCAATGACTATCAATTCAATTCAGTTTATTTCTATAGCGCCAATTCACAAAATGTCATCTCAAGGCACTTTACAGTTCACCAGATCATACAGTCTGATTGATTTAAAGTTTTCTATCTAAGGAAAAGCTGTTGATTAAATTTACTCATCGACTCAAAGGCAATCTCTCACGCTAAGCATGCTTGTAGCGACAGTGGAGAGGAAAAACTCCCTTTTAACAGGAAGAAACCTCCAACAGAACCAGGCTCTGTGTGAGCGGCCATCTACCGAGGCCGACTGGGGTTCAAGGAGACAGAAGCAGATATACAAAAAGCAGCTATAAAAGGCGGCCCCGTCCAGGAAACACACAGCCAGACAGACAAGCTCCGAGCCAACTCCCATGTCAGAGGATGAAGAGAGCACATCCAGCCAGTCACAGTCAGAGAAACACGACTACACTGAAAAACAGGCAGATCTCCAACATCTATAAACAATACCATAACCCCAATATATCAGAAGCATGATGCATGCTGCTTCTCTCTGCTTGTATCTTCATTTTTGTGCACCTGTAGATCTTTCACATGTTAGTCAGAAGATGTTTTGCTAACTTTACTAGCTACAACTAGAAAGAAAACAGTTGAGGTGGGATCTCCTGAGAAGTAGCCAATCAGAGACGTTATGATTTATCAGATTGGTTCCACCCTCACAAGGACAGAAGTTGACATGAGCCGACAGAGACACGAGTAGGAGGGAATTTACAAGAGAAAGCAAGAGAGCGCAATGTGCCAATAGTTAGAAAACTCTCAGTTTGCATATGTTGGTAAACTCAAAGTTTATCCACACACAAAATGAAAAGCATTATAAGCCATGTGTTATACAAAATACATTAAGAACACCTCTAAATAAAAAGTTAAAGAATGCAAGAGAAGTAATAGAAAATCAGAGGCTGCAATAAGCTATCTTCATAAATGTGCCCAACTTTAAACAAATACTTTGTTGAATCTCCTTTTGGATGAATTTTGTCCTCCTCCATTCACAATAATTACAGAAAATATGGTTAATCTAAGGTGAGGTTTGGATCTCCACAGAATTTCTTTTGGTTCACCGATGAAGGTGATGGACAAGCAATGTCTTTCAGGCCTGACATATTAGAAAATCTTTTGCAAGTGTTAACAAGTCAAAATGTAGGATAGTAAACATGTCTACACTCAGAGCAACTGGTTATACAAAAAGTAATCTCATTGTTTTTTTTTTGTTTTTTGCTCTCTATTACTTTGTTTTAATATTAAAAAATTTGTAATTCATACTTTGACACCTTTATTTTTTTCTTGGCTATTGACTTACACTTATAAATTCAGACACTTACAGATATGTTTTTATTGACAGTTATCTTATCTCATGGATTTTATAGATTCCATTACACTGATATGAAAATATAAATTCTTTGTTCCCTAGGGAAGAAATGCACATACGGCCACAAGTGTAAATTCTACCACCCAGAAAGAGGTAGTCAGCCCCAGCGGTCAGTGGCTGACGAGCTCCGTGCCAGTGCCAGAGTTTCATCGGTAGCTTCCAGAGGCCTGCTGGAGCATGCCCTGATGGGGAAGAGCCAAAGTAGCAGTCAACCTGAAGAGATCCCTGAAGCCGAATCAGGACATGACAGTAAATTAACAAAGCAGAGACTTCAGAGTTTGCCCTCCAGTCTCATGGAGGACAGACTCCAAATGTATTCCAAACCAGAAGGGTTTAAAGAAAGAAGCATTATTGGAGGTCATACTTCATTTGGAGTGTCCCGTTCGTCAGGACATCTAGACAGGTGGGCGCAACCAGAGGAAAGTAGTGGAGCATACGGTTCAAATTTGGTGAAAAGTTTCAACAGATGCAGTTCTCCAGAAGTGGACTGCAGGTCTCTGGTGAAGGCCTATTCAGGTCTCCAACTTGTTGTGCCACAGACCCCCAAAACTGTGTTACCAGCTGCTCTGCAAGCAAATTCACTGCCATCTGATTGCAGCAGTGATGGCAACATTAGCTCTGATTCTTTTTCCCCTGACCCGATGTCAGACAACAGCCCCAAATGTCAGCATCACATCCCACACTACCATCATCACTATGGTGGATTATATGGACACACGGCAGGCCAGGTTTCGTCTGAAATGTGCCAGCATTCCCCATATGGTTATTCTGGTAAACTAAGGTCACAAAGAACGCAAGGGTCTGTCAGTGAGGAACACCCTTGTTTGGTCAGTTCTCAAGCATCTCCATGCCACCGCAAGACTGCATCAGCAAACATGCTAACACAGCATCAACATCCACAGCTAAGCAGCTATCAAGGGGAACAACCGCATCATGTACCTCAAACATCTACTGCTCAACCTGATTCCCAACACTCACCCTTCCATCCAAATGTGTTGACTTCATGGAAAGGTGAGCTTGATGACTCCGCAATATACAAAGGATCACCACTTAGTTCTAGAAAGAACTACTCAAGGTTATCCCAACACCCTCAGCTTAAGACACACTGGGATTTTGACCATGAGCCATCGACATGGCCTTCCTATGATCTGTTTTCCTACAGGAGTTTCCCCCCACTTCATGGTAAGGGTTGGCAATACTCTTGGGAGCAGCAACCCATGTCTTCCACCCATGGATTTTCAAATTCTACTGTCCCACCACCCCAACAGCAGTCCTTCAGACCCATCAGTACTCACAAGGCCCCTCTGGTGAATGAGCGCCACTTCTCAGGGCATCTCTCTTCAGGTCAATACCAGGACCTCAGGGAGAGGGTTTTTGTCAACTTATGTGCCATCTTCCCTCCAGATCTGGTGAGGAAGGTAATGACCAAAAACCCCCATGTGATGGATGCACAGGAGCTTGCAGCATCAATTTTGATGGAGAAATTGCAACACGTGTCTTAAAGGCAGACAATGGGGAAAGTACTTAAAATTCCTCCAATTTTGAGGTTATTTGCTTGCAAATTTATGTAAAATTGTGACATCCCTGTCAAAATATGTCTTCTTTTTCAGCACTTAAGACGAGAAAAGGTGGGGATTATTTCTTTTTTCTTCTCTTGGTTTTATTTGGTGGCTTTAAAGAATCTTTAAAAGGGGAAACAATTATTCTTATTTATTTGTTGCATTTAAGTTATCTAAATAGTTTTTTTTTAATTGATTTTCTTTGCACTTTCTGTTGTTTTTTTGTCTCAGCTTATTTTATAGGGGCAATCATATCAGGGTATAAATTAAACTGTATCTGAGATGACAACATAGCATGCATAAAATAATATATTTGTGTTTTTTTTCTTAGTTTTACATCAGAAATGCATTTATGCTCTAATTGCATTTCTGCTTTAGTCGGCTAAACTTGCCGTTCTAGTTTTTTCAGTCCTTGCTGACAGGTGTCTCATCGGTCGTTGTGTTATATTACGGATTTCCCCTGCAGGGAAGTGAAACTTAAACAGGACCCACAAAAAAGATAGCAAAAACTCCACTTGAAAACCCCAAGCTGTGTTTCACCACAAAAGAATCGTTATTTCCTCTGCTCAGACACCCCTACCAGCTCACTTCCCAGTTCATCGTGTTTTTTAGCACAGATTTTATTTTTTCAGAGAACAACAGTCCTGTTTTAATAAAAAAGATCTAAGCTAATATCAAATGAATGAGCCAAAATCTTGAATCTAAATTATTTTTTTTTTATATGAATTGTGTTAATTTATTACTTTTTAGATGACTGTGAAGCATAAACACCCAGTCTCGGTCTGTAGCATCCTCCAGTAGAGTTTAATCTTCCTCAGAACGGAAATAATTTTTAACCATCTGATTATTTTTGATATGTGTTCAGTCTACAGTTTTTTTTAAGTAAAACTTACTTAGAGATATTTCGTAAATCTTTACAGAAAATATCTGTACTTGTTTGATTTGACTCCAAAGAATCAACTCCACATATTTAGCATTGCCCTCCTGCATTCCTGTCATCAAGCTGCTCTTTTCCCACTCCCTCCTCCTACTTTTTGGGGCCTGGACCAAAAGATCAGATTTTTAAAAAAGGACCATGTCTCATCTTTGTAATATATCAATATTCTGACATAAGATTTGTATCATTTGGTCACCCTGGAAGTTACAGTATTTATTCAAGACTTTCTGGTTTTAGAAGTTCATTTAAGGCCCCTAATTAAAGCACAGTAGGACGAGGCAGCAGGCAGGGAGCAGATGTCTGCAAACTGCAAGACCACCTGCACCAGATCAAATGTAAGATAGATTTAGCAAAATAAGAGCAGCTCAAGCGTCCATTTCGAACAGACTAATTTCACCATAAATAGTTGCATTATTGTAATTCTTCGACATTGGAAGGCTTTCTTAGCATTACTCTAATCTAATACAGACAACGTTTTATGGCAATTCAGAACAAAAATGTTAGTAAAGTTAAACCGTTTAAATCTAACCTGCAAGAGATTTAAATAGAGTATTACGGGAAAAGTTATGCAAATTGTATTTTAATTCAACATCCCAACATCTAAGCCTTTACTCATTAAAACAAGTGTTACATTTCTGTTATTAGTTTGATCCCCTTTTAGAGCTATTTTTGCTTCAATTTTTATAACGTAACTTAATTAAAAAAGGAAACTGTTAATACTATTTATCCCGAAGTCAGGTTATTTTGATTCAAAGAAAAAAAAAAAAAAAACTCATGCCTTGTTGGCATAATTTATAGTAGCTAGATGAATCCTTTCTTTGTTGATACAAATTGTATCCTTAAGTCTTTAAACAATGACAACATTTAGAGCTGAATATTTTAGATTGTTTGGCTGACTTGTGTCACCTTTTGGGACCGAGGCTTTTACCGAGAGGAATTTTTAATCCTTCATTTTGGCAACAACGTTCAAGCTGTCAAGTGTTTGGGAGCAGTTTTTGTTTGTGAACTCAAACTGTAATACAATGTAGTTCTTAATAAAGAAATTATCTTTGTTATTGAATGGGAAAAGGCTTTTGGAGTTGTATATAAAGCTTTGATCTTCTCATTCCTTATTTAAAAGGTCTGAAAACAAACAGCTTGTAAGAATCTGTACAGGAAATCGGTATTTGTCAGATTAGTCAAACCGGCCTTTAACCTTTTGTTTCTTGAATTGCTCAGCAGAATGTATCGCTTTACTGCCTGGAAACTCTTAAACTAGTAAGTAGAGCTCCAGCACTACAGTGGGTTTAATAGAAAACATATTATCCTCCAGGTGTGAAGCTGTTCTGCCTCCTGCTAATGTGCACCACGTGCTTTGATTAGCTGCAGATTCATCTTTTCACATCTCTGGGAATGTCCTGTTACCGGTAACTTTGGAGCGTAAAAAATGTTCTGATGTGCAGCAAAGTTATTTTTTTATAATCATAAGACTTTCTAGAAACCTATTTTTCTACTGCCATTTACCTGAAGAATACATTTTGTTAGTGTAGCTGATGCTTGATATAAAAACAAATGATTCTACTTGTGCTAACTGAACACTGGTTAAAGATTTCACCAAAAGCTTTACTTTACCAGGTAATTACAGATTAAACTTGAAACAAATCGAATTTTGTATTATTGGCTAACATAAGTGTAGCTGATGTTTGTAAACTAGTCAATTGTAACTTACTGTACTTTTGAGTGAAAAAGGAAAATCAGGTTTTTGGCATTTCTATTTTTGTACTTCACTGAAACATCACTGAAACAGATGTTTTTCTATTGAATAAACAGGATTTTGGTTTAATATATGCACCAAGGTTGCAGGTTAACAGTGAAAAAAGTTGCTTTCTCCACATTAAACCTACAAAGCTAAACTCGTTCAATTATTTAGGATCATATCAACATACACATGTCAAGAAGAAAAAAATAAAACCGAATATGAAGATATGTACTTTTATTTTGAAGTGACAGCTGGATTAACTGTCAATTTCTGTTGCAAACAAATTTATAATTTCTTCATTTAGTTTCATAAATTAACAAAGAATATCAGTTACTCTGTGAATTAAACTTAACTAGTTGCTTAAATGGCACTGTTGTCAGTTTTTCAGTAAGGAAGTTTTCTGTCCTAAAAAGATAGACAAGCCTGAATGAAGTCAGTCAGCATAATAGGATAAATGACTAAATAATACCGTACATTTAAATAAACCAAAAAAGAAGAGGACTGAGATTAATTAACCAACATTAATTAAAGGTGTAGTGGAGGATTTTCACGAATTTTAGAAAAGACCTGCCCTCTCCACTTAAAGAAAAAAAAGGTTTATAGTCAGAAACCAGGTCGTCTGCGTGTGTGTCGCAGTTAATGTGCCTTCCGCAGACACTCTGCTGCACCTCTCCAAAATTGTAGGTGAACACAGACAGGAGGCCTCTGATTGGTCAAATCTACATCTGCTCTTTTCCTGTTTGGTGGAAAAAGACTCGTGAAGTTGGACCAGCTAGTAGACCGAGGTGCGTGAGAATGCTGGGACCCTTTTTCCACCTAGATCCCCGCTCTTTTTCGCCCTCGTGTCCCTCCGTTGTCGCACAAACCCCCACTTCCTCACTGCCTCGGCCGTATCTAGACCCACAGCTAGTTCGTGATTGTCCATCTTGCATTGTGGTGTGGAATAACATGGCGCAGACCGCGCTTTAAATTTGTGCATAAGTCAAAAATATCTGTGACAAGCTCACTGCGACACACTGCTGCGGGAGGATAACCAGCCCACGTGTGCGAGGGCGTGCACGAGCCCATTTCTCCTCATGCACGCTCTGCTTAAATGTTGCTGTTCTCATAGCTCATTCAAGCTTACTGTGTCCGTACGTCCGCTTTAACCCCTAAATCCCTCAATCAGTATATAGAGGAGGAACTATATAGTGAACTCCGTTAACTGACCATTTGGACAGATGATCACTGCTTTTTGCTCTGTTGGTCACATAACTCCTCCTCCTCTACACAGTGCCTGCACCATCTTTGTTTGCAGTCGCCGCTGTCGGGTAGCAACAGCAGGCGGTTGTGACAGCAAATCTGGGATACACCTGCCTCTTCTGAGGCCTTTCTTTTCTTCTCATACACGTAGACAGTTTTTCAGACATACGCCTGAAAATGTGCAGAAAAAGATAGCTAATGGGACGAGCACATAAGACGGCCTCACGTATCACCAGAATGATTGACGATTAGGAGGACAAATTACTTAAATGATTCACTCAGAAATTAAAGATCGTTCTCTATACCTTAAATTTTCTATCCTAGACTAGATGAGGATTAGCTACCCGACGTAATGCTTGCATTATGAATTTCTGGCCTGAATTAAAAGGGGATTCGATCAGAGCTGCAGAACTTGTGTGAGGACTCTACCGCCTGTGAGAGGTTCTGGACAGGGGAAGGGATGTGAAGCAAGCATGAAGCTAAACACCTACCATTGAAGAGACCTTAATATTTCAGAGTAACATGAGAAACAGAGGTTAGAGTCAAACGTGCTCCCAGATTTAACAAAACATGGAGGTAAAGTCAAAGTCATCAAGAGCCAGTTTGTTGTGGAGCTGTCAGATATATACCTGGTCCAATAAACTGAAATCAATACATTGCTTCAATTTCATTACAATGTCATTTAGCTCTGCAGGGTCCTGCTGATTATCTACTTAGACTTAGACAGTACTTTATTGATCCCTTGGAAAGACTCCCTCCGGAAATTATGGTTACCAGCAGCTTACAGGGCAAACAAGTATGAAGTTAAAATAAGTTAAAATTAAGCAACAAACAAGTATTAAGTTAAATTAAAGTTAAGCAAAATACAAATACAAATAAATATGGAGTTCACATTTTACAGAAAAAAAAAAAAAAAACTTATTTGAAGGTTTGTTGAAAAGGTAACAGTTTTAATTCCTGGTCAAGCAATGATGTTTTGTACTGTTGATCCAAATGAGAATTTAAAAGTAGAAAAAAATAGGATCTTTAAGCTACTTTGCATCATCATCTTTTATCAAATATCAGCTTGGAGTTGTTTTTTCCCACAGTTCCAATCCTTTATAGTTGGTTTTCTGTGGAGAAAGCATGTGGGAGTTCATACTGATCTTTACCCTCAGTAGGCTGTCAATCTTTCTCAAATGTGATTTTCTACATTGTCTTTTATAGTTTTATGTATTTGCCAGCTGTCAGTTTTTTGTCAAACAACCACTTCAAACCTGCTTCAACAAGACTTGTTCTGCAGCGGAAATAAGTGAGGGCTTACATTTTTTGGAGCACAAGCCAAATAAATACATAGGTTACAGCTTTCAAGTGTTTCTTCATGCTCAGACTAAAGGTGTTTAAATTAAACCAAAATAAATTCAAAGGGAAGATTTATATATTTACCATTGTTCAAATATCAACAACCCTGCTCAAAAATAAAGAGATTTATAGCAAAAGATGTTCCGGTGCTTTGTCTGAAGACTATAAAGGCATTTACTGTGGCAACTGATAATGTTTGTGATCAATAAAGTTAGATAATATAAAAGTTTTATAGCTCCTACAAAGAATAATGTAATGAGAAACAAATAATTCAGTTATGCTACATTAAATCTGAAAGTGTTGCAATTTAAAATCGGTGCAGCCCAAAAGGATACCCATTTTTAAAAAAGTAATGTTTCCCAAAATGACCTTTAGTGCTGAAGCTCGATTTATCTTATTTGAATTAATGCAGTTTTGTCATTGACAAAAACAAATAACTTGAAAGCCTTTAAAGCTTGAAATATTATTGTGCATGTTATGTGTTTTTTTTACATGGATTCTGGGAAATTAGGCTGTTTGTGTATGTGAATTAACCATGACCAATAAAGCCTTACTGAAACTTCAACAAGTTTGGTCGAGTTTGTTCAGTGAAGCATTGCATCTTAATGAAAAATAAAAAAAAAGGAAACTTCTTTCTACAAGAGACATTTTTTTTTTGTTCATTTTGAGGTAGAACATTTATGCAGATATAGATTTCTTTAATGAATTTAAATTTCACAATAAACTTGAATTTGGTAAAAAAAAAAAAAAAATCTGAATGAAGTGTGAAGTTTTTGATTTACAGAACAAAGCATACATTTTATCAGTAACACTGTAGTTAAGGAGGTACGCATAAAACTAACATTACGCTGTCATAAATATAATGCAACACCTGTTATAAAGATGGAGTCTTTACAAATGAGTGTCATTTGAGAGTTGACGCTTTAATTGGAAAGTTATTGTTTAAAATGTCTTATGACTTTACATTAAGCAAGTCTAAAATACTAAATTACATAATTGCAACTAGTTCTTGATTAACTTTACTTGAGGAAAGGGAAAACATTGACATGACAGTGTAAAGTCATGTTAACATGTAATCTAAATCACCTTTTAAAGGTTTATTATTGGACCTGTTCTTATATATTTATGATGGGTTATGATTTCTTGGTCAATTCCAAGTGATCATAAAAAATTTTTTGGTTCTGTTAATGTCAATTT